GGTGAAAATGTTTTTGGAAATTTTTCAGAAATTTAAATTTTGAGAGACGGCTGACATTCACATATTTTTTTTTTATTACAGTCCATTGTTATAATTAGTCTATATTATTATTGTTGTTAATCTTTTACTGTGCCTAATTTATAAATTAAACTATATCATAGGTATACATATATAGGGAACACAGTATATATAGGGCATTACACTATCTTGCATTTCAGGAATCCATTGGATGTATTGGAACTCTCCTCTACAAACAAGGGAGAACTACTCTTTATAAAAAAAAATAAACATTTTAGTATATTGGATTTTAAAAACAATTTAGCCTTTGGTGTGGGCCTGGGTGGGAAGGGATCTAAACTAAATGAATAAGATGTGTTGAAAACATGGAAAATATATTCAACTTTTCCCCAAAATTGCTCTTTACTGAAAAGACCAGTAGGCCCGGACGGTGTGACTTAGCGCACCGAGCATTGTCCCATGGACTGAGAGGTCCAAGTTTGCTTCCCCCTCAAGGCAAATGCTCTGGTTGCAGGCTCACTCCCCAGTAGGGGGTATGCAGGAGGCAGCTGGTCTATGTTTCTCTCTCACATCCATGTTTCTCTCTTTCTCTCCCTCTCTCCAAAAAAAATCAATAAAACATATTTAAAAAAAAAGAAAAAACCATTGGCACAGTATAGACTGTAAGGATGGTACAGATATTTCTATTTAAAGAAATGCTGCAAGTTTCTATGACCTGGCCCTACACCAAAGTACTTATGTTTTAGAGCAAGATTCATGGGGTAGATTCTAAATTCTTGTTTTAAATTATTCATGTGGAGTAGCTGTAAAGTAAAATGACGGTATAAATTAAATGAATCTTATGCATCAGTAATAGAAAATATATGGTCGAATGGCATAATATATGATATCTAAGACATGCTGATTTTGCTGAAGATTTCTTTTTATAATGTAATATTTTCATTGCAGTTGGGAATTGAAATGTGATGTGTCCTTTACTAGTTTCACGGGCATTTGTATTTTAAAGAAAGCTGTATTTCGGGGGGACCCGTTGAATAGTTTGTTCTCACTCAAAACTGAATGTTATCAAAGTTTTATCTACTTAGTATTTTATCAGTTTAAAAAATTGTGTTTTTTTAAATTTTTTTTATTGATTTTAGAGAGAGAGGAAGGGAGTGGAAGAGAGAGATAGAAACATTGATGAGAGAGAACATCTATTGGCTGCCTCCTGCATGACCCCCACTGGGGACTTGGCCCACAACCTGGGCATGTGCCCTGAGCAGGAATTGAACCTGTGACCTCTTGTTGCATGGGTTAATGTTCAACCACTGAGCCTCATCGATTGGGCTTCTCACTCAGTTTTATTTTTGAGGAGTTTATTTTAGATAGATTGATTGACTAAAGAAAACAAAACTGTGAGAGCAGAGTTTATGTTATATTTTTGCAAAAGCTATCCTATTTTCCTTAAAGTAAGATAATTTTAAAGAAATGGAGATATTTATGTGTGTGTATGTGTGTGTGTGTGTGTGTGTGTGTGTCTATTTTTAGACTGTTAAGTGGTTAAAATTCTTCATTGTGCATGTTATCACATACTCATTTCCTTGGTAGTTTGTCTGAAATACTTGGAACTTGTTACATCAAGTGGCTCCATCTACCTTTACCCAGATACTGCTCTCCTAGACGATTGAGTTTAGTGAAAATGTATAAATGTGTAATGAGTCCAAAGTGGTAGTAAGGATGTCAGGCAGATATCCATCATAATGAGGAGTTAATATCTGTGTCTGCATTACATTCTAATTGATGGCTCTGTCTGATATTTGAAAAGCGTTAAATTGCCGACGTGCATGTGATGGAATGCCTATTGTCAGGCCAGAAATGGAAACTCTGCACCATCACTGCAGTTGTTTTTTAAGCAGTTGGTGGAGAAATGACTTTGATTGTTGGTATCAGACGTCAGAATTACAGATCTCACATTTTACTAGTAACTCCTATGCATCAAGTCTTCCTTCAATATAAACTATGTTCTATAATTCAATTTTTGAAAAAGCCTTTAGAGAAAGAGACTTGATTCATTAAAATGGGAGGGGAAAAAGTCTAGAAAACCACAATAGGACTGTGTTTCAGTAAATTAATCAATAATACATGAACTGAACAGTTAAAGAAGTAAATGTCATAATAGCATGTCAAGATAGCAGGAATGTATTGATGTTTAAGCCAAACAGGAAAAAATTGACTAGTGCTAAGAAGTCCCAGTATTTTATAATATATGTTAAAATAAGTTGAACTGTGGAGAATTTACATATTTAAAACTTTACCACCAACTTTTCAGTCTTATATTTTTATAAAACCGCACTTACCTTAAGAAGTATGTACCCAAATATCACTTTCTCAGCCTTAATAGAATCACTCAGATTTGGAACTCAGTTCCCACTTCTGGAATATGACAGGGTTAGAATCATGAATTTTAGAGATTCTTTATTTCTACTTGCTTTAGATTTTCTCTATCCTCTAGTCTCTTCTACTTTTATTCCTCCTCCTCCTCCTCCACCTCCTCCTCCTCCTCCCCCTCCCCCCTCCCTCCTCCTCTTCTTCTTTCTCCTCCTCTTCCTCCTCCTCTGCCTCCTCTTCCTTGTTCTTCTTAACTAAGTGTGGTTTGGACCCTTCCTCCATCATCTCCTAGCCAATCCAAGGATCACTAACTCCATATGTTACTCGGATCACTAACTCCATTGTTACTCCCTTTGTCTATTGTGTTGATGTGACCAGAGGCAGAATTAAAATGCTGCACTTCCTTGAATCATTTTGGAACCCAGGCCAAGCCGAAGGAAAGCAGGGCAGGAAAGGGGGAAGGATGAGGCTATTCTTGCATATATAGTACCAAGTAAATGCCTGCATGATAGTAACTGGCGTGTCATGGGTTGTTTTAGTCTCTACATACAGACTAAATGTTAAAAAAACAAACAAACAGGCCAATAACTATTACATACGTATGTGTGTGAGTGTACATGAATATTATCTAACCTTTTTCTCCACAGGGTCTTACAAACTTATACGATTTCTTCTACATTATTGTACATGTCTTATGTCTTCCAGAAATCCTTGACAGTCCTCCCTCTTCTAATACTAGAAAGGTCCCTTCTGACCTATGCAGCATTCAATGGATGTATTAGGTTCACTGTCTCAATTAATCCCAATGACAACACTATAGGTCTGTATTATTATCATGCCCATTTCACAGATGAATACCCTGGGTTGCAGAGAAGTTGGACCTTTTGTCCAAGTTCAACTTCCCTAGATTTTCTCTAAAGCTCTGGCCCATGTGCTGCATCTTTAGCCACAGTGTACTAGTCTGGGATTTTCAGGTGCCCACACACCATGCATTCTCATTCTTCTGCGTGTATAGAGTTCCCCTGCCAGGGTGCCCTCCGCTCACAAGGCGGGTCTGCCCTACTTAACTCCTTCTCTTCTGTCAAAAGTACCTTAGAGGTGTCTTGGAAAACCCGTTCCCGTACTCTGTAGAATCAATCACCCCCATTCTCCTTTATATTTTGCATATTTTGACTTAGTTGTTTGTTTACGTATTTGTTTCTCTGAGTGGATTGTTCTTTCTTGAGGAACAGGGACCTATTCCAGTACTGACATGCATTAGATTCGCATCTTTATTGACTCAACTCTAGGTAAGCGGAAATCCTAGTTTATAGGATATAGATGAGAATCTAGTCAGAATTACAATTTTTATTTTGTAAAGTTTAATATTTAATTATATTTGAACTTTTTAAAATATTGAGAACATTTTAATTCATATGAGCCTCTGCCAGCCAGGATTGGAGCTGTGTATACCCACACTTCTGTGCGTAACAGTTTCTTTTATAAGGGTCCTTGTTTGTATCATTTTCATTAGAGTTTATTTGTCAACACTCGCTAGCAGGCAATATGCTAATCAGTTGTCAGGTGAGCTCTGTTCTTTACCTATAGTGGGGCACATAGAAAAATCACAAAACATAGTGAGGGATTTTAGATTCCAGCTGGGGTGACATATCTAATACACAGAAAATTTAGTTATAAATACTCTTAATCTGCAACCATAACACACCAGTGGGCTCCTGAATACAGACTGAAGACCACTTGTAGTTAATTAGCCTAGTTATCCTAATACCACTCTGCAGGACACAATAAACTCTCATCCAAAACTGTGTAGGGGAGGAAAACCTCCATCTGCCATTCCTGCAGCAAGGTTACGAAACCAAACTCTCCTAGCCTGGCAAAAGCCTTCTTTTTTGGATGGATGCCATCCCAGACTTTTATTTAAAGTTCAATGAGTGAGGCGAATTCATGTCGTTAATTCCATGGAATATCACAGTCTTCTATGGTAGCCTTAAATTTTTCCAGTTCTTTTGATGACTCATGACTAAGTAATATATTGTATCTTGCTTCTTGTATTTTTATAAAGTTGCTACTTCATTTAGTTGTTCTGCCTATTCTTATCCTGAACTTGTGTTTTTAAAGTTAGCTCTGGCCATGTAAGTCATTCCAGAGTCTTTTGTTTCTTTCCCCTTAACCTACCAAATAGCAGTTTTATTTTTTCTGCTCTTATTTTTTTTATTAATGTGATTTTGAAAATTAGTAAGCTTAAGTTTTGCCTTTATTGTAATACATTATCCTCAATGCAACTGTGCATTTATGACTTATCCTCCAGCGCTTCAATGGTTAATTGTGTGTGTGTGTGTGTGTGTGTGTGTGTGTGTGTATTTTGTGTTCCCATAAGTTTTTTCACCAAGTGCCATCTACTTTTATTTTTAGTCTTCTTTTTCTATAGTAACATCAATAGCAAAACATAAATAATTAACTTATATGTGATTTTTTTCCTATGGTGGCAATGCATTTCTGCTGATTATAATCACTAAAATGTTATGGACACATAATTAGGGTTATTGTTTTGTTTTCACCACAGAGGTTTTCTGTGTTGTTTATTTTAAGAAACTATACCTCTCCTGTTTTTACAGGTAAAAAGATGGCCTATCAGAAAGTTAGTGCAGATCAAAAAGCTCCGGGACATTCCCAGTACTTAGACAACGATGATCTTCAAGCCACTGCCCTTGACTTAGAGTGGGACATGGAAAAGGAACTGGAGGAGCCTGGTTTTGACCAGTTCCAACTAGACAGTGCTGAGAGTCAGAACCTGGAGAACTCAGAGACTGCGGACCTCAACCTTGATTCCATTCAACCAGCGACGTCACCCAAAGGCAGGTTTCAGCGACTTCAAGAGGAATCTGACTTTGCCCCCCGCTACGCGAGATCTGCACCCAGGAGCAACCACTGCAGCTTTTGCCGCCTTTTAAAAATACTTTGTACAGCCACCATTTTATTTATTTTTGGAATTTTGATAGGCTATTATGCACATAAAAATTGCCCTTCAAATGCTACACCTTCAGGAACACTTGATCACCAGTTATACCAAGAGATTCTCGAGACAATCCAAGCAGAAGATATTAAGAAGACTTTCAGGTAGGTGTGGAAGAAGTGCGTGTTGGGGGGGCATTGTCTGGGAAAGATGTTTCAGGGAGTTCTGAACTGGTGACTTTGCCATGGTGCAAGAGTGACCTTGTAAGCTGAGAGACATAACTTACCATCACATTCTTCACAGAGGGGATGCACATTTTCAGAGGTATGATATTGTAACACAAATCTGTGATGCTGCTTTATTAATTGATAATAAGAACCACACGTGCTTTGAAGACTACGAGACTTGAACCAGTGCATTGTCTCCATCTTGGGAAGCCCAGGTAGGCCAAACTGAGGTGCAAAGACTGCTGGATGTACAGGTAATAAGAACTAATTGATTGAATTTGTAATGACCTCAGAATAAGACACACCTTCTTTAGGGCAGGAGTAACCTCTTATAGTCAGAGGCTAAGACAAGAAATGGTCGTTGTTGGCCCCCTGCTTCCCCGTGCTTCCCAGTGAGCCCATTTGTACCCACACACGTTGGGTTCTGTATATCAACCAATTCTAAAGACGAGTCTTTCTCTTTAAGGTAAGTTTGCATACGGCTGTCTTGCCATAATGTGTTGATTTTTAGAAAATATTTTCTATCAGGCCTTAATATGAGTTCTTGGGAAAAGCTTCATGGATGTCACATAACCAGTGGGTAACTTCAAAATTTTGTAGTTTGTTACACTGTTATCATACGTGCTGTTGTGAAAGGTTCCCTAGTTTACATGTTTAGTGAAGTAAGGAACCAAAAAGAGAAGGTTAATGTTAGCTTCCACATGGATTTCCTGTATTTGCCGAGAAAAGACGGTCCTAGGTGAATCATATGGATGCTGTTTAGAGGTGGATGAAGAAGAGGGTTACTGCTCTCCTGAGGTATTCATTCAGGGCTGCACTGACTTATCACAGCCAAGGTGTTGGCAGGTGTTCATTTCTAGGGATCATCTCTGGAGAATGGGCACTGCAAATGCATTGTTGAATCTATGCGCTCAAGTGTCAAGTGTATCAATGTTGGTGAATTATAATTCTCTTTCTGAAGATCACCTCTGAATAACGAGAATTTGTTTCCTACACCCTTCTGTGTCTGCTATTCATTGCTGCATAAGCATCTCTTTACATGTTATATGCAGAGAGTAACACTTTCCATGGTCTTTCCTAATGTAACATTGTTTATATTGAATTGAGCTGAAAGATAGCCATGGTCTGTACTGAGTGATTGTATCGGTCAGGATCCAACTGGGACAACAGAAAACTCACTGAATATTTAAAGCAGAGGGAATTTAAAATAGGGGAATTATTCTACTGGAGATGAAAAACTGAGAAGCCAACCTGGGGACACGAGGGAGCCCAGAGATTAATAACAACAAATGAAGCTATTACAAAACCTGGGCGGCAGGCACAAAGGAAGTTGGGTATCTTGGTGGAAGTTGGAACATTCTGCATACACAACTGTGTCTGTGTGTGTGTGTGTGTGGGGGGGGGGGGGGTAGTTCAGCCAGAGACACCACTGGAAACAGAGAGAGAATACGAAGCAGCACAGCTTCTCCCGTCCTCTCGCCCTGCAGTGTCCTCTCAGTTCGTCCCCTGGCCGAACCCAGCAGGAAGGCTGCTGACTGGGAGCTAGCTCCCTGGGCATTGTGTCTGTATAAAAGAGGGCACCATAGTGTCATTGTGGACATTTGTCATACTACAAAAGTATCTTCTAGAAAACGATCCATGGATTTAATGTCTTCTTAATTAAGAATAATTATGTTTGCCCTGGCCAGTGTGGCTCAGTTGGTGGAGCTATCATCTCATGCACCAAAAGGTTGCTGGTTAGATTCCCGGTCAGGGCACAGGCCCAGGTTGGGGGTTTAGTGTCCAGGGTCGGGCGGGGAGTGTACCGGAGGCAGCTGATGTTTTCACATCAATGTCTCTCTCTCTCCCTCTTCCTCTCCCTCTTCCTTTCTTGCTAATAATCAATTAAAAAATCGTATTAAAAAAAAAGAATAATTATGTTTTTTCTGAGCAACTGCTTAGTTTTCTATTTTATGGACACAGTGACTCTCATAACCTAGTCTGCTTCCCTTTTACCTTGGCTTTTTGCAAGTTCAGATTCAAATGTATACTGAAATAATAAGGAACTTAACGACATGCATTCTATGTACTAACTAGCCTACTCATTTATTTTTCTCCTTATATCCCCTGGCTTCTTTTGCCTTACTCATTTTTTTCAGCAATAACATTGTAGATATTTTTCAAAATTGACTTATGTCCTCTTTTCAAATAGGCAGCAGGTTCTAAAATTTAGAATATATAATTACATAAAAACATTTATTATTTTCCTTAGAATAGGAGTTGCATGATAGTAAGGCTTGTATTTTCCATTTAATCTCAAACATCCACAAACTATATGTTTCACAGCTAGCAACAAAAAATATAACCACCAGCCAATATACTTCTAGGCGGTATTCACTTGTTGGACACAAATTCTCAATTATCCTCTGTCAGATAGCTACAGTGCTTTTCCTTATTAAGATAATAGACTTTTCTTCAAACAATAACATTTTTGGTACAAATATGTTTACAATAACTTACTTCAAAACATCTCCTCATCTAAAGACAATTATTCCCTAACAGTCATGATAACCACATGCTTTACTATGAGTTCCTGCATTTACTAAGTCATCATAGCATTAACTCTGTACATTATGGGTTCCTATGGTTATTTTTCATCAATTTATGGTTAAGTTTGGGTTTTCACTGACCCACTATTTTGTGCATCAACTGTTATCTCTCTTCTTGTATTTATTTATTTAAAACAATTTTTTTTCTTTATTGATTTTAGAGAGAGAGGAAGAGAGAGATAGAAACATGGATGAGAGAGAACATCGATTGGCCACCTCCAGAGGATATACTGTCCTGTTTTTAAATAAGTAAAAACTCATAATAAACCAGATACTGTGAAAATGTTAAAGAATCACTATAGATGTCTCAGTTTCATCTGAGGCTTGAAGACAGTTTATACTAATTTCATATTAAGTTCCATATGCAGACCTTGAATTTTAAAAAATGTGTGAAACCCTGAGGTGATCACCCAGTTACAGCCCACGAGAGATTGCGGAAGCCAAGAAAGAGAGAGGAAAACGAGGATCTCGGCAGGGCTCTGCTAGTGGTGTACATCTCAATCTCTTCTCAAGGAGGGAGCCTTACGTCCAGTGAAAAAAGGGTTTAATAGAACTATTTCCAAGAACTTCCTATCTGCCTTACACAGAGTGTTTGACTCCTATCTGAGAAATCTAAGTGATAAGACTCAGACTGGCTAATTGCTGATAAAAGGGGAAAAGTGATTGTTTTGGGTGGCCTGTGGCAATGTTTACTTCTGTGGACTATTCAGGTGGAGGGTGGGAAGGGGGAGGGGCCAGAGAACCCACAAGCCGGCCCAAGAGGAAAATGCAGCTGAGAACTGCTGGGTTCAGGGAGCATCCTGCTCGTTCATGAGCGTATCGAGTGAGAACCTCGGCTTCACTGTCTGTTGCCAAGGCTCTGTTTCAGCCCTGGCTGTGGCAGGAGCTCTGAAGGAGGAGCAGAAACACACAGCAAAGAAAAGCTGATGCTTCTCCCTTCTTTGGCTGGAGGGTTCCCAGTGTAGAAGTTAAAAAGTGGGAGACAGTTCAAAGTGCTGACTCTTAAATGACACCGATAACTTTAAATTGCTCACTGGAGGAACTCAAGTCCGGTGACAGTGACCAGGGTTACCAGAGTTGGTGATCCAGGAACAGGAAGAAAGTAGCTACAATGAATAAATGTGAATTGGAGGGAAAAAAGTGTGCTTTACATTTACATCCCCTGAATCATGCTTGTTCAACGTAGATGTTACATGCGTTATTTTTATGTGTCATAATTTTAAAAAGAACATATTTGAATAGGGTGTTGATACATAGACAATTATTGGTAGACATATTGACTGTATATCTGAGTTTAAGAACCTAGTTACCCCATTATAAAGCTCACATAATGAGTTAAAGTAAGCCAAGTACTTAGTATCATGTTGATCAAATGAAAGAAAATAAATCACAAGTTTAGTTACACTTGATAGCATTCATAGGCATGGCCAAAACTAACATCAGAATATGAAGATGATATAGTGTACATGCAAATGTGTGTGTGTGTTAATCAATCTTCCAATAAGATTCTCTGGGTCACTTCTATCTATGCTTAACTTGTTGCTAGTTGAAAAATGCATCCACTCTTTTACATCATTGGGTAATTGCTTCCATGTTTCTTCTATGTAAGCAGAGAGGCTGTACAGTGTATATGTACAGATATATGTCAGCTATATCCAGATGCATCAGATTCAAAATTGGCTTTATTTAATGTATGCTTTTGGTACCTTGAAACAGTAACTAGTTAAATAATTTAAGTTTATTGTAAACTCCAAAACAGGAAGCTAGGCTTACACAGTATCCATGGGTAACAATTACGCATTTGATTGGGTCTTAAGATATGGAATCTGGATCTAGTCAGCTCCAGGAACCTCAGTAGCTACGGTCCTCTGATTTTTACTTGTGTTGAACCAACAAGGTGACTCACCTCCCTTTCCATCTGCACTACTTTCGGTTTGCCTTATTGTTCTTTTTTCAATACCAACTGCTATATGTATGACCCAATTCGTTATTCTTCCCAGTCCTATTCCCAAGAATGAAACATGATTATTATCCTTTAGGGGGCCAGGGACATTTGTGACTCTGGCAGGTGCTTATCTCTAGTCTAATCAGCTTTGGCCAGTTGGGATGTTGGTCACCTTATATGAAATAGGTTTAACTAAGGCTGTATCTGATGTCATACATCAGGACTAAGTTGTCAAGGATCAAAATGCAGGACCCCTAGTCTTTCAAATTTGGTTTTTGTTGAATTCTTAGTAGGAGAAATATATTTCACATAATTAGATGGCTCTTTTGCAGTGGCTATGTTCTGTAGTCAATGAAATATTTCCACCAGACATACCAAGGTCATCTATGCTTACCAGCTGCCTA